TGAGTTAATTACTACAAGAATAGTAGATTTGGACCAGTTCCTTTACTCAATCGGCTGGCAGCCATATATCATTTTCAAATGATTGCCGTTATTAATTACTAATTACCAATTAAGTAAAAACATGCAACCGGTGCCTAGCCTCTTCCAGGTGCTCAGTTAGTTGGGGCGCAGCGCGGAAAACAGCGCGCGAAAAAAATCACGTCTCACGACTAATGGCTGCGCAAAAGACCACTATTGAATCCTTGAGAAATATTAACATTACAGATTGCTTATTTCAATATTCTTTATTTTAAATTAAAATCTATTTTAAAATCTAGTCAATATTATATTTAGTCTATTTTAGCCGTCACGCAACGATTTTATGAAGGGAAATGTTGTGTGACGATCCAAATAAGGGCCTCGCCGACCCTTAGTACTTTGACACGGCAGAAGGCTAAAGGATCCTAAAGTTCATGAGAAGTTATACTTCAGCAAGGAATACATTAACATTCATGTAGACTTAATGACGGTGCCTACTTTTGTTAGTGCGCGCAATTCCTGCGCATCACTCAAGGCATGGTTTAAGCCAGGGCGCTTATATGTAGCCCGGCCTTTTTCCGCCCTGTTTAAGCGCAACGCGGGCGCTGGGAATGGGGTTGACCTTGACGCGATCAACTACGCTACCGAGTACACGACTAAAATGAAAACAAAATTTTCCTACTGTGACCAAATCAAGTTTAATGAACCTGCACTTAACCAGGAACACCAGAATAGCAGCATATCGCTAACCAGTAATTGTTAACGTCTTCCAGTTGAAAAACTAGCTATTATCTGTCGAAAACTATACTGAAATCCAACCGTAAACATGTACCTGCAGATGGCGTAGTGTGCGCGCAAAACACATGCGAGATACGCAAATGTTTTACTTACTGGGGAGGTGACAGGAAAAAATGTAACGGGCACCGTACAAGTTTTAAAAAAAGAACAATAACTTTAAAAAAAACGCGAGGTTACCCCTATTTTTTATGTTATGAAATGGAGGTGGCGAGCCTATTCAGCGCGTGATTAGTTTCTAGTTGTGAGCAAAAGCTTTTTGGACTGTATTTTAGCTGAACCAGAGGAAGGCTGTCAGAGACGCTAAAAGCGCTGTTGCAACGATTTTGTTA